ATGCCCATCTCAAAGGTAGGTCTCATGATGATTAATTTTCTTTTCTCTTACTTTAATTTCTTTAATTCTTTTTTTTTTTAATCGATAAAGTAGACATTGTGAAGATTTATGCATGCAGGGTATAAGAGAAGGAACATTGAGATCAAGATTAATGAAGATGGGAGTGAGCTGTGGGTGAGTGGAGAGAAGACAGTGGATGAAATGACGGTAATGCCCTTGAAGATGAAGAAAGAGGAGGAGATGAACATGAGAGAGTTCACAAGGATGTTTAAAATCCCAGAAGGGGTGGTCTTGGATGGGATCAAAGCAATATACGACGAAGATGAATGGAAGTTGACGATTGTGATGCCTAAAATGGCGAAGGGATTTCTTAGTAGGGTTGGGATTAAAGAACCAGAAGATCCAAGTGAAGTAGATGAGAAGAAAGAAGAGTTTGAAGAAGAGGAAGAGGAAGAGGAAGAGGAAGCTCTAATGAAGAAGAAGCGTCAAAAACAAAGGAGGCCATGTTTTCCTTTGATGCTCGGAGGATCCGCTTTTCTTTTGTCTCTTATATTATTTGCTATACGCTTTATCAGATTCAAACACAAATAACTTCATAATTCAAACATTCTAAGCCTTCTTCTTCTTCTTAACGTTCTTAATTCTATACCGAGATAGAGAGTCATATAGAAGAATGAAATTATATGAATCCAATGTATTTTACCTACCTAATCTCATTCACTTTTGGATTTTACATCTATTAAAATTAAAAACCATTAAAAATGAAAAAATAAAATAACATTAAACATTTTTTAAGAACAACAAACTGGGCAATGAGCATGCACAAATTAAGTGATAAGTTTGTTTTATAATGGATTGAAAAATATTTTTGCCCTTAAAGTATTCTTAGGGGAATATTGAACATTCTAAAGGGTTAATATCGTTGTGTTGACAGGTTAATCCAAGTCATGATTAAAGAACACTTTCATTAGCCCAAGAACATAAGTTAATATTTATACTCCTGTGCCTCCAATATTTAAGCAATGTGGCATTTGTTTTTTTTTTTGACACACCCACACTATAACTACAATACATTGTTCTCATAATTTACATTCATTTTGATTTAGTCTCAGGTACTTGAAAGTCTTGTTTTTGGTTTCTTACATTTATTTCATTTGAAACATTAGTCCTTTTATTTTTAAAAAGACGTGGATCAAGAGTCAACAACCGTTAATCATTAACACAGTTTTTTTTTTTTTTTTTGGGTTTATGTGGATTCCGACGGAGCAACTGAGATGGCAAAACATCTTCCTCTCTACCTTCTCTCACTCCTTTCTTACTGCTCTCTCCCCTCCGTTCCCTCCCTCCTGGGATTAAGAATTGTCTTTGAAATTCACACACACAGACACACAATCATTACTATTTATGGAAACATTCTCTTTAATTTGTTGGCATGCTTCATTCCACAAAACTTTAACGTTAAAGTATATATTTAGTTTTTTAATTTTTATGCAAGATTTTAGTTTAGTCCATTAACTTTAAAAAACATATTTTTAGTTTTTTTAACTTTAAAATTGTCAGTTATAAATGACAATTTTTTTTATAACAATCGTAGTTATTTTGAAAATTAAAATTAATTTGTTAAAATTTGAAAATATTTTATTAACATTCAAGATCTCAATATCATTATTCTTTTGTTAACAGTACTAAGGTTAAATAAATAAAAATATACTTTTAAAAATTAAGAGAATAAATTAAAATTTTATGTAAGATTAAAGGATAGTTATAATTTAAACCTAATCATCCATCAAGCCCAGAATCCCCCTTTTCATTTATTAATTAGTGATGAGTTGAGCCCAAACACCCAAATGGGGGCAGTCCCGATGGGCATATAAAGCACGATTTATTGGGTCTCACACAATTTGTTGCGATATTTGCACCAACACATTGATGTGTTCTTGATTGGTGGCGCGGTATGAAAGGAATTGCTGTCCCAGCCACCATCAGCAATATTTGTAGAGCCATGTTCTCACATAAAACCGGGGAGAGAGAGGGAGAGAGAGAGAGAGAGCAGTTTCTGCAGAAAGAGTTGAACAGGTTCCAATGATTTGCGACACTTCGGACGTTGATGCAGGGGAGGAACGCCATTAAATGATTAGTTGTTTAATAAATCCACATGGCACTTATTGATCGGAGAATTGGATCTACTGGATGTAAGACACTGGAGGTAAGTTTTCTCCTATTAATTATACTACCTCTGGTTATTAATATAAGATCTTATTTGACTTTTATTTTGGTCCTAAATATAAGAACCCAATTCATTTTGTCTCTCATATTTATCTAAATTTTTCCAAGATAGTCGTTCTAATAATAGTAGTTCTAACTAATAAATTAGATTAGCAAGAATATTTAGAAAAAACAACACATATTTATAACAAACAACGAACTTAACTTATTTTCTTAATCTACTCAAATTAGTCAACTAGCTCTTATATTTAGGACCGGAAGTAATGGCTTTTAAGTTGCAACATACATATCAAGTTGCTAAATTATCATTATTATTATTCTATGATTAATTTCCCTTATCCTATTTCTTTGGATGATACTTCTCAAGTGCTAGATATAAAACTTATTTTATAGTACTATTTATATTATAAAATAAATTTTATACTTAGTATCGAAGAAGTACTAAATATTCAGAAGACAGAGAATTGGATGATGGCAAACACGTTCTGCGACCTTTCGGACCTGTCGGCATATGTGTGTGTGTAGCCGGTCATGACGATGAATCCGGACCTTGCTTTATCTACATGGCAATATCTGCCCATCTGCATAAGGATTTAATTAAAAAAATTTATAAGGGCTTGATTCAAAATTTGGTTAAATTATTAGGATTTCCATATTAATTTTCCTTGAGAAATATATAAAGACTGTACGTTAATTTCAACTCAAATGATAAAAAAGGGCAAAGGATTTGAAGGTATATGGGGTCTAGAATTTGAAATATAATTTGGGCACGAATGCAACAAATACGTGGCACGGCGACGGGATCGTTGATGGTATTATAGTTAAATAGAAATAAATCACTGACAGAATTTTTAACTTGCTAATCGATCCTAAGTTGAAATAGGCCATCTTTAAGATTAGTGATGGAATTTGATCTTAGTAATGAAAAATTTTTGTTGCTAATTTACTATTCTTTGCGATGACTTTTAGAGATTAACGTCAACATATTAATAAATTAAAAATGTAAAAATAACTAACAAATTTTAAACGGCATGATTTAGTTCCATGCAAATAGCCATTATTACTCACTCTAATTCCGCACATTAACATTTTGTTTTCGAGACCTTTTCAAGAGAGAAAGATATATGTAAGTATCACTGAAATATGAGAATTCTGAAATGGTCCCTTAAAATGGATTAATTCCAATGAAGTATTATGTTCCGTTTGGTATGAAGCACTGACAATGAAGAATAGAAATTGGGATTGTAATTGAGAAAAATTATTAAAATAGTATTTCATATGAATAATTGCTTGCTATATCAGATTAGTCAAATCCATATATGTGGGATTGAAAAATACCAGGGGAGAAGTTGTATTCTCCAATCATACCTTTATGGGTTTGCTTAATTCCATATAACAAGCAATCTCTTATATTAAATACTCTTTTAATGGATTTTCTCAATCCTAACCTCAATTCTTATATCTAATTTTTAATGCTTCCTACCAAACGGGACCTTAAGGGATTACTCTCATTAATTTTTTTTTGTCAAACAACCTAGCTCAGTAGATTTAGTTATCACCATATTAGTATTTAAATGGCTATAAATGTACTAGCAGTATTTAAAGACAGCATAACATGAGAAATAGGACCAATTCACATAACAACCACTACATTCTAACACAAATCTGAACATCACATGACAGAACCCCCCAACTTATTCTAACTAACTGCTACAAAAACCTCAATTTTCTTCCCCATTTGTCACCTCAAGACAATGGAACTTCTTTTTTTCCCCTTCCGTCGCCTTCTTATAGCAAAAACTTTTGGTGAGTCAGATTCCGAGGACTAACCCAAGAGACCTAAGTAACGGGACTAACTTTGGTCGGCATGTGTTGAACTATTTTATCTTTTATAAAGTGCACGTCTATAATAGCTGATCTAAACCTTAACTTCCTATAAGGGATGGGAGTTGGGCTAACCTTTGGATACTTTGCAGTGTGTATTATCCCAATGCAAGTTTATTTCTTTACTCTACAATGCAAAACGTGGTCTTTCAGCTCCTTCAAATGAAAGAATCAAGCCTATGTTGCATTGAGCTGGAAAGAAATAGTTTGGTTGTAAAGCAAAAAATTTCTGCAGACGCCACATGTGCAAGCAAGATTGTACGGGGATAGATTATATAAATAAAAAAAGAACAGATAATGAAAGATTTGCAGAATTGACTGATTTTTGTGCATGGAAAAACATGTATAGTTTTATCCAAAATGGCAAATACCTCAAAAGCTTTAATTAAAAGGATTTTTTTTAATCAAGAATACATTAATTTGTCACCAAGAAGTTTGGCTCATGTCACTTTACAAATCTACTCAATTTTAGTTGGAAATAGGCCTCTTTATTGACTTGATTGGAAAGTCACAAATTAGCAACCCAATCAAATCATCAATGGAATTGCACAATGTTCAGTTGGAAAATTCTCACTGATGGTGTAAAGGGCGAATTCTGAATTTTCCCATGTGATTTCCCATTTTTTGGTAGAGCATTTCAGAATGAAAACAGACTCTTGAATACAATGTCAATAAAGTTGACAACACTGACTAAGTTATGACAAACTTTTTGTTAGATCATTTTTCCCAACAGAAATTGTAGGGACAAGAATAAAGAAAGAAAATGCTTGACTAATATCAATGTTATTCAAACATCAATTTACAGAAGAGCAAAACAAAAGTAATATAGGAACCAAAAGTAAATTGCAACTTGCACATATATTCATGGACAAAATCAACTACAACGAGGATGAAGCAATATACTGAGAAATTTCATTACTATATCAGCATGACAAGGCAAAAGCCAAACAAGGGTGAAAGACAAGTAGAATGGACATCAAATGACTACTTCAAATATCCTAAAATCTATACATTTTAGGAGTTTTCAGATACGAGAAACCTCCCCCTCCCCCTTCCCGTTATTGGCATATTTCTCATTTTGAATAATCTTGCTTCACAGTCTTCATCCCTTCCTTTTTTCTTCTATTGTTTACCTCATCATATTTACCTTTTGCAGCTCCTTGGAAGCAAAATCAGGATATTGCTTCCACTTGCATTTTTTAAAGACCCGGACCAAATGATGAGTACAAGATGTTGCTCTCAAGATTCATGATGGTTTGGCCTACCTAGAGCGTCAAGCCTCTCGGTTTGGCTTTGCACAATGTTCTGAAATACCTCCCTCACATGGCGCTCCAAGGGGTCGAGTCCATCTTTCAAAGCTTCACAAACCTGTGAAACCTCCTGCACTCTCTGTCTGATCTCCCCTTCTTTCTCCTCCGTCAATGGGAAATGTACCGAAGCAGCCAATTCATTCATCACCCTAGTACATTTCTCAATTTGATGAATCTCTTTTAGCAAACCACAAGAGTTTCTCCTCTCCCTCTTCCTGGACTCATCCATAATCCATTCATTCATCGACAGTAATGGAGCTGCCCATGAAAAACTCCTAGGAATAGAAAAATGAACCAGGAGTCCACGGTCTTGACATGGAATAGCCGCAACAAGGGTCCACATTACAAATAGAAGAATCGAGTTCATAGTAAAAATGACCACTGCTAGTCCATTAGAAGCCACAACATCATTTCCTCTTGGAGGATTCAAGTTGTTCCCAATTGCTTGAAGCTGCCTTGCAGCAGACCAATTGCGAGAGACACTCCATGAAAGGGTTCGAAAAGGACCTGTAGAAAGATGGCTATGATTATGATGATGATGATCCCTGCCAACAGGGTTGCGGCTGAAGGATCGGTTTCTTTGTGCTGGAGATGCATTAGAATCTTTATCATCAAGCATCCCAGTTGCCAATTCATTGAGGGCCTTCTTGGCACGACGAAATTGGCCCTCACCAATACTCTTCTGATTGTCAAACGCACAGGGAACAATCTCCAATAGCTTCTGCCACTGCCGAAGCTGATCAATCCCATCTCGTATCGCATTACACACATCTAGAGCTTTCACACTCCGCTCAAAGAAATCACTCATCATCCGATCAACCGGAGGTTTAAGCACTAGAGCTCTATAATTATGAAGAATATACCTAAATTCCTCGTGAAGGTAGATAAAGGAATCAAGTAACTTCCGTATCCATGAAAGGGAAAGCAAATCATCCCGGCCTACCGAAGAGAGATCCAAAAATTTGTCACTGACCTGTTTCTGAAATGACTCAAGTTCTTGCTCCAAATTAGAGTTTCGATACTGAGGCGTAGCTGACCCTTCCATTGAATGAACTTGAACGGGATCACGACGAAGACTCAGAAGCGCGCGGCCAAAATGAGCTAAAGAAGGAGACGAACTTTGAAATTCCGTCGCAGGCATCTTCATCTAGGCACCGAAATCACGAAGCTCTCTCTTCACGACTGTATCACACACTATTTCCCCCAATTTCCCAGACCCATTTTTTGCAATTGAATCTCTCAAAGTCAGGCCAAAAAAAAAATTGAATCTCTCAAATTGATTTCTTTTTTCTCTCTCTTGTTCCTTTTTCTCCCCTTCAACCTCCAAGCAGAAAAATTTTTCGTTTCAATTTGTACACAGTATACCCAGAAACGTAACGCAATTAGATTTTGAACCCACAAGAATTGAACACTAAGCGGAAAAATCGAACCCCCATTTTTTTTGGAACAATTAAAAAAAGTTTAGAAGTCAGAGAGAAATTCAGACAGGAGGGAACAAGAGAGGAATGAGGAAAAATGAGAGGAACAGAGCTCTTAACGGGGAAGGAGAGGAATTATATTTGCAGGCAATTTGGACGGACCGCGTTTCATGGTGGTTGGAAAAAGAAAAAGCAAAAAAAGCAAAATAAATACGTAAATAAATAAAAATAAATGATTAATAATTATTTTCCTATTTATAAGTTACTTGTAACTTGTAAGAAAAAAAATTTTATTCCTAAATATAAGATATTTGTAGAATAATTAATAAATTTTTCTAATTTTATTTTTATTAACTTAATAAATGACACAGAGAGAGAACATAATAAATGCGAGGAAATATAAAATATATTTTTAACATTCTTTCTTTAATAAGATAAAGGTTATAAAATTATCAATTTAATGTATTTTTGGAATTATGAGTTTGAGATACGGATAATAAGAATAGATCCGTATAAGTAATAATTTGATCTCAATTGTCAATTGTCAATTCTAAAGTCACAACTTCTTTTGACCAAAAAACCAAAAAGAAGTCTCAACTTCTTGGTCCCGCACACAGGTGAATAAAAAGGATGTGTGAGGGTGACTCTTTCTTACACGCCCCGCACAAACACGTCTTAGACACGATTCCTAAGATTTTGAAGAAAATTACATGCAAGGACCAAATGCTTCCTTGCCATAAAATTTAAAAAATTATAATTCCTTTCAAAACACAAGTTCTTAGTAAGCTGATGTTTTTTGTCCCACAAAATATTACACCCTCCTATTCTAAATATTTGAATTAGTTAAAAGGTTTGAGTTGATTTTAAATATAATATTTAATTAAATTCATCTTTTTTTATATATTAATTGCACACATATATATATCTACAAGTCATAAATATTACTCGCTCCGATCCTTAATATAAAAGCTAGTTGACTAATTTAAGTAGATTAAGAAAGTTTGTTAAGTTAGTTATTTATAATAATCATGTGTTGTCTTTGGCAGAATATTTTTGCTAGTGATGTGTATTAGCTATAACTATCATTCAATAGAATCTTTAACATGTGCAATTACTATAAAAATTACTTTAAATAAATAAATAAATAAATAAAAGAGAGATTGAGATTTTGTATTTAGGACTAAATTAAAAGTCAAAAGCTCTCATATTAAGGATCGGAAGTAGTATATTTGAAAATTACGCAAGAGTCCTGTATTGATTTATGATGCTTCAATATATTAGATTGATTTTAACCTTTATGGGAAGAACTACTTTAAAGAAAGTTATTTTAAATTATAACTTTTCAAACGATGATAATAACTTTCGAAATTATAATCAAGGAATAATTCTAAGAAATTATATCTAAAGACTAAAATTTTAAAATTATCACTGACGGACATAAAAATACCATAAGTTTTCATGATTAATTTTCTTACAAAATAAACAATTTAAAAGGTTGCTATTAAATTTTTAAACATTACTTTCAATTCCTTCAAAGTAATTTTCTTAGAAATAAGCAATTATTTTCTTAATTCAGTAATATATTTCTAAAATGTTATTAATAACTTTATGTTTTAAAAATAAGTACAGTTGTCATTAGCAATTACAGATAAAAAATACTCCATCTGGTTTAAAATATAAGATAAATTTTATTTATTTATGTTTATCAAGAAAATAGTCAAAATCAATTTAAAACAATAAATACGCAAAAGATGTATTTTTTTTCAAAATATAACCTTATTAATAAAGAGAATAAGTAAAATATCTAATAAATGAATCAAAGAGAAAAGAGAATATATGCTAAGGATAAAATTGAAAAAAAAACTTATTAAATACTTAAGTGAAAGTGAATGTCATCTAATTTAAAAAATGAAGTCTTTTTAACAAAACTTATCTCATATTTTGAACGAAGTACAGTTTTAGATATCATTTCATACGAAGTAATTATAGTTTTCAAAATTTTAATAGAAAATCCTCTTGACTTGGGGCCCCGAATGTGTGATGGATTCCGAGTCAGCTACGTAGATCACATGAATATGTACAGACGGGATCATAGCCATGACTCATGTCATTTCAATTGGAAGATTCATTGGGTCTAAATTAAATGGAATTGTATATGATCACAGAAGGTTATAAAACTTTATCATCAAATATTTAAGGATAAAGATATAATTTTAATCCTAACGGTACAAATTTATCCCGACTTTTTTAGTGGTACAATTTTACCTCTAATCTCAGAGGTAAAAATGCACATCAGAAGTAAAATTGCACACTAAAATAGATCAGTAGTAAAATTATATTTAACAAATAAGATTAGGATTAAAATTACACATTTAGCTAATGATGCTACATTCTCAACATTCAAATTGAAATCTTTTGACTGCGTTAATAGAAAACTTACCAATAAAATATACTTAAACACATTTCTTCTTCATGAGGACGTTACAATTGATAGATGGATTTAGGGTGTGTTTAGTTTAGTTTAAAATAAGTTTTTTTTTTTCAGATTTTGTGAGATAAGATTCCCATCACATATTTAATTATATATTATAGTGTAAAATTACTTAAAACAAATTAAAGGTTAAGTTACATGCAATGTTCTAAATTATTCTTTTAGTAATATTCAGTATCTCAAAATAATTTTTTAGTGCAATTTTGTTCTTAAAAATATTTTTCACAGTAGTAACAATTACTCTAAATTTAAAATATTAAGTATTGCTAAAAAAATATTTGTGGTTACTAGATGTACTAAAATTACCTTAAAATAATTTTTAACAATCAAAATATTAATTATTATTGAAAAATATTTTACAGTGATAAATAAATAAAAAATTAATTTAGAGAATTGAAAAAAATATTTTAATTTCCCTTAACTCAAAAACCAATCTGAACAAGAATACTTGGCTTGGTTGGGTGTTAGGGAGTTAGGGAATTGCAACCAGGAGTGTGTCATGTGGAGGAACAGCTTGATCTCATGGCACGTGACGATGGGCCTGATGACGTGGACAAATGTGAGTAGTTGAGAAAGGTAGTCATTTGACGCTCTTAAGTGGCCCCCTTCAACTGCGTACGTGGACAGAGCAGCCAAGTCTTTGTGGGCGCATAAGGGGGGAGAGGGAATTAGTTTGTGTATTTTTTTTTTTTTTGGCCAGCGTGGGGTGAGTCTGTGTATGACAGTATTAGTACCAATGATACTCTGTTTCTAGAAACCCCGGAAAGGAATGGTGTTGTGTGGTGTTCTTTTATATGATTAACCAATAATCCAATATGCCCTTCCGTATAAGACAATTTAATAAAAGATTAAAGTGTAAAAATATCGATCAATTTTTTTTTTCCAAAAGTGCATTTAACACCATATATTTTCTAGGGTGTAAATCTACCAATGGAAGTTTAAAATAGGTGTAAAAATATCAAAACCGTTAAAGTGACTTAACTACCGTTACTTTTAGCAGTAGGGCCCACAATATTCTTTGAAAGGACAGAAATACATGTAATTGAAAAAAAAAAAAAACTCTCCTCCCTTAACCTCTTGATTCATCTCATCCTAAAAAACCCAACCTCTTGATCTCACTCCCTTCCTTTGATCTGCTTCTCTTTTCCCAACCTCTCAATTCTCTCTCCCTCCCTTTTTCTCCCTCTCCCTCTCCCTCTCCCTCTCCCATCTCGCCCGTACTTCTATTGTCACTTATATGTGGCCATATCGATATAAGAGTAGAGGAATCTTAGAGGTGGTGGTGATGACAAGATCTGGAGAAGCTTGTGTATGGCCATATTGATACGAGAGTAGAGGAATCTTGGAGGAGCTTGGTGATCACAGTGGTGAGATCTGAAAAGCTTGTGTGTGGTCACATTAACTTGAGAATAGAGAAAGTTTGAAGGAGCTTGGCGGTGGTGGTGATGAGGGAGGAGCTTAGAGGCTACATCAAGGAAGGCCGTGCTTGCTGGGTCTACAGAGAATGAGTTCAATGGAGGAGTAGAGGACGCTAATTGGTTTCATGAGAGGAGAGAGGTCATCCTCTTTGATGCTATGATGATTGAAGGGAGTATAAGCAATGCTGTTAGAGACTAGTATTTCAATAGGGATGCTATTAGAGTTATTGACTGTGCTTATCCATATAACAATACTTGCCATAATATGGTTTTCAACTTATTTCATGCTTTCATCTTTCTGTTTGCCATTCTTCTATCTTGTAATAGTGATAGGGAGGATTGGAGGAAGGAAAGAGCATTGTTAGTGTTTTGATCTCTTTTCTTATTTTTTTCATGCTTTTGAATCTAATTTATTTGATGCCGTAGTGATTGTGTTGACTATGTTTAAAAGAAGAGCCTGATGTTCTGGGTTTCTTAAGATGAGGAGAAATGGAATTTGAAAAAGGAGAGTGTGTTTTTATTAATTAGGGCTCTTTAGGTCCTTTTAGAATAATGTTGTGGGTGGTTAAGTCATTTTAATGGTTTTGGTAGTTTTGCACATATTTTTAACTTGCATCGGTAGATTTACACATAAGAAAAGTATATGGTGTTAGGCACACTTTTGAGAAAAGTTTATGGATATTTTTACATCTTAACCCTTATAATATAGGGGGCTCATCAAACCCTTATAATATAGAGGGAAATTATGAAAACAATGGAGTGAGAGAGAAAAAGCAAGAGGCACAAAAAAAGAAAGGAAGTTTGATAGAGAGAGAGTGTATGTGTGAGTGATAGCATGATAGGTGTGGTGGAAATGAAGATTAGATGAAAGAGAAAGGGAAGAGAGCCAACCAGCTATAACATGAGTAGGTCCCACATAAGAAGAAAGAGACGGCGTTAAGGGTAGTTAGTGAGAGCAAGGAACAAAAAATCAGACCTAATACTAAACCAGTTGAGGTAGTGGTTCAAGGGTCAATGGGTTAGATCATGATTAACTCAGAATCAAAACAGTCATATTAAAATAATATAATTTAATTAAAAATAACAAAATATAACAACATTAACGATCACTAATAACAAAATATAAAGAAATACAATAATAGTTTGATGGTAACAATAACAAG